TATTCTGCTCATTAATGAGTGAAATTAATGAGCAGAATAACTAAGTGAAATTAATGAGCAGAATAACTTTGATAATATTATTCAAACCTGAAGAATTTATTTCCATGAATCACAAAGTTTAAAGCCCATCTGTAAACAGTTCATGGCCTGATCCTATACCTGCCTCTGACAATGAATGCAGGACTGGGTCAAATATGTGCTATTTCTTTATATGATTATATTATGCAATCAAATCTTAACACAAAAACCATCTTGTAATGAACAACCTGTCCATGCTTAAATCAATTTTTCCATTTTTCATACCACCTAACCATTCATATTCTTTATACTTTTATAGAGAAAATAAACATATTTGTTTACATGCAGCCCCATACTACCCACACTTCCCCTTTGGAGTTGCGTAAAACAGTGAATCAAGCTTCCAAAGGTAAAAAACTAAAATATTCATTATTAAACTGTAATTAACTGTTGGACTAGTTTAATATGCAAGTATCTTATTTTTATGTATTTATTTTTACCTGATATCTACATTATGTGTTTTTCCCAATTCCTTTTGTTTTTCTACTCCTCCTTCAGCATTCCCTTCTTTTGGATCAGCTATAACACACGTGTCTGGTAACAGTGGGTCATCACTTTTTGTCAACTTTAAAAAGAAAAGGTGAGAAGTTTTAAGAAAAATCTGTAGGTACACACTGTGAGCACATACTGAATGGTGGGCAGAGAACTGATTTTCAGGAAGTAAGCTTTGTCAACAGAGCCAAATTTTGGCCTCAGTTATATAGGTATAACTAAAGAATTACGTTTATGTAATTTACATCAATACCATTACCTGAAGAGCAATACAGGAAGAAATGTGCAGAATTTGGCCCAATGAATTCTGAGAGTGACCTAGAACTATCAGGGAACTATCTAGAATCTGGATTGCAGTTTCTGTATTGTTTTCATACCTCCACCACCATCCAAAATGAATACAATGCACAACTTTTGGACACATTATTCAGTGTGAATGCTTTAGAAGTTCTGATTAGATACAGTCATTATCTGTGTGTGAAGTAGCACTCTTTCAAAAGGCTCAAAAAGGCTTCAAGTAAAAGTGTTAAGAAAAAGATGGTCAGTTTTAATAACTTGATTTTATATTGTTACTCTGTGGAAACTTGATAAAATGGTAAAGGTAAAGGAGAGGAAATGAGAGGCAGCAGCAAAAAAAGGGGATTAATGAAAGAATATGGGCAAAAAAAGGGAAAAAGAAATTCTGCATACGTAGATTTAAAAGTGTTAAATTACAAGGAGGCATGATTGTGTGGTAGTGGTTCTGACAGCCTGTAGCTCCACCTGTAAATCATTGTGAACAGCAATTAGGATATTTTAAAATAGGGTACAATTGGGTGAGATGCAAGATAAATCTGAGAGAAATACCACTTTGATGATCAGCACAAGTCATAATTATTGCCCAACTCCATGCCGTGTAAATTATTGTCTCTCCTCTTATTTATTTGTTAAGCAATGTGATGTGCTGGGTGCTATACAAATCAAAAAAGGAAGAAAAAGGTCCCTGGTCTGAGGAGGAAACCTCAGTCACAAAATGCACTGGAAGACCCGAGTTGAATTCATCTAGAAGAGTTTCTGAACTGGCAAGCGATGTTATTTACAGATGTGCTCAGTATTTGTGGAAGAAGTTACTTCTAAGGTAGGATTGAACACTCTAAATATAACTTATTACCTCTTTAGTAAAATTTGCATTATGCTCTTCTGATCTAGCATTCAGTTGTGTTATTTCTTCTGCAGGAGTTTCATGATTTGGTTCCAAATCATTCTCTCTTATGGCATTCTCTAATTCCTTAATGTTACTGGATACCATATCGTCCTTTCTTCGATTCTGTAGAACAAATGTGATATATGGAGATACTCGCAATAAAAATCCAGTGGTATTACTGCATACTCTTTTCCTATTGTTATGCTGAGACTTCCATTATGTCCTCTCAAACATTGCTAAAAGTTATGAAAAAAACTTTAGACGGCTTGACCTCAATTCAAAAGTTTACCGCCCATTTCCTCATAGATGTGGCATGTTATTTTAATGCAATAGGTAAGAGTTAAAATTGCTTTTGAAATCTTAACTTTAAATATTCTGACTTTTGTGTAATTAAAACATCCAACTGTAATAAGTCAGGAACAATTTGTTGCTTATAGCAGATATAAAATTTATGGCTAACTGCATAAAGTATGGGGTGCTGGTAGTAATTCTTAAATTTAGGCTGCCTAACATTTTCCATTATGGGAAAAAAACCTTGCAACCTTTTTTGAGAAGCGCTAATACCCCCATTGTTTGCAGCAGGCCATTGAAATTTGGTAACCTCAGGCTAGAGGAGTGCCTTTTCTTTATCCCAGGAAATTCCATTTAGGTTTAGCTGAGTTATAAACTGTTAAAAAAGTCTATTTCCCTTTCTCCTGCTTGCATTCCTAAGGCCAATTTTGGCAGCCTGCTATAAATGGACATTCTGAAGTGCAAGGCCCATGCCGCCACCAAAGCAGCAGCACTTGACTTTGCAACTTCCTCCCCCCGCAAAAAAACACATGTATTTTTTTTTTTGCTCAAACATATTACTGCGTACACACCAAGGAACTTTTGGCATACCTGAGACAGCTTAAATGGATTATCCCTAACAAAGGATGAGCTCTGTGAAGGAGACAGATCTGAAACGCCAATAATATTTAGCCCCTTTTTCTTCTCTCTCAGACAAGCTTGTTGGTGTCTCTTTATTCTTTCCATCTGCTCCTCCACAGTCATTCGAGGCCGAGTGTTTTCTGCCAGACATAACTGCTCCACTGCACTTCTCGGCCTTTCCTTAAAAGAAAGGAACATACTTTATTAAAGAGCACTCTTTGAAGCAATATTGTGAACATATAATGTGGGTGTTCACTTAAAAAAGCTTGTTCTGCACACCTGCATTTGGCCTAACTCTGGTATCCCCTATATTAAGACTGGTCAATATGCCAAGTTTTAGGGACAAGATTTATCTGCACTAGAAAATTACATCATGGTAGAACATGTTTTAATGTTAAATATGACTGAGCACTCAGTGTAGATAAAGACTGGCATGTTTAATGTGTCAGCTGATTGTGGTTACAGTTGGGTTGGGGTTAATAGATTCAGCTGCCTTTGTTCTTCTTTTGCAGTTACTTAGGGCTAGGCTACACTAGAAGCACTAGATGCCGCTGCACCATGTCTGGTGAAGACGCCCTAGGCTGAAGGCATAATTACTCCACCTGTGGACAGCGCTTAGGTTGTTGTAAGTTGCGTCGCTCAGGAGTTGGCTTTTTCACATACTCCTGAGAGATTGAAGTTACATCGACGTAAGTGGTAGTGTAGACCTGCCCTAAGGTAAATAAGAGCTGGTCAGTTAATAAGGAGTGGTTACCATGACCAGCTGATACGGAGTTCAACTTTATTATTATTCAAGCACCTAAGAATCTCAGTCATGGACCAGTACAAACTGGCGCTGTACAAACACAGAACAAAAACATGACAGTCTTTGCCTACACTGCACAATAGTGCCCACTATAGTTTGTTTTCCAATGAAATGGTTGTTTAAATTTATATAAAGTTGTTTCACCTAATAGAGTGACTACACCTCTACCCCGATATAACGCGGTCTTCGGGAGACAAAAAAATCTCACCGCTTTATAGGTGAGACCATGTTATATCAAACTTTCTTTGGCCCCCCCCATTCCTTGTTCCCTGACCGCCCCCTCCAGAGGCCCCGTCCCTAATCACCCCCAGGACCCCACCCCTTACCCAACCCCCCTGCTCCCTATCCCCTGACTGTTCCAACCCCTATCCGGCAGCAGCGGGAAGCAGAGCACCGGTGAGTGCGGGGAGGTTGGGGAAAGGACGCCCCCCGCACTCACCTGCGGCAGGAAGCGGAGCGACGAGGCCCCAGCCCACTCTGCTTTCCTTGCCCCGGCCTCAGCCGTGTAGCTGGGTGGGTGGGTGTGTGTGTGTGTGTGTGTGAGAAAGGTCACGCACTCACCTGCGGTGGGAAGTGGAGCGCCGCGGCTGGGAGCTGGCTGGGGCCGGGCTGCTCCGCTTCCCACTGCCGATGAGTGCGGGGATGTGGGGGAAAAGGACGCCCTCCGCACTCACCTGCGGCGGGAAGCTGAGCAACGCGGCCCCAACCCACTCCACTCCGCCACCTCCCAGCCACAGCACTCCGCTTCCCGCCGCCGGTGAGTGCGGGGAGGTTGGGGAAAGGACGCCCTCCACACTCACCGGCAGCGGGAAGAGGAGCAATGCGGCCCCAGCCCGCTCTGCTTTCCTTGCCCCTGCCCCATCACTGGGGGGTGGGAGGTGGTTGGGGAAAGGTCCCGCACTCACCTGCGGCAGGAAGCAGAGCACCACAGCTAGGAGCTGGTTTTGTGGAGTGGGCTGGGGCCGGGCTGCTCCGCTTCCACCGCTGCCGGTGAGCGTGGGGGGGTGGAGGGAGGATCCCTTCCCCCAAGCTCCCTCCCCAAGCAACACAGCTGGGGCCGGGGCGAAGGAAGCGGAGTGGGCTGCTCCCGGCCCCCCGCTAATTCCCCCGGGCCACTCTGAGACTGCGGGGCCCCCAAAATTGCCCCCCCCCAAGCTCCTGCCTCCTAGACCCTGGCGGGGGGGAACCCCTGACTGCCCCCCGAGACCCTCTGCCCCTTATCCAACCCCTCAGCCCCGGACCGGCAACCTTAACATGCTGCTCAGAGCAGCGTGTCAGAGCTTTACCGCGCTGTATGCGAACCAGGTCACGTTATATCGGGGTAGAGGTGTACATGAGAACATTACCTGAAACAATAAATTAAGAGGACAGCATAAAATGTCAGTGACAGCACAATTTTGAAGAGATTTTGAAAACTGTATAGAGTAATGAACAGAAATGCATAAGAATTCAAATCAATATTTTAATAATGGGGGATACAGAGATAGACATGAAAATATTGTAACTTGGGTCCTCAACCCTGGATCCAGGTGGATAGACCTAGGAGCCCATGCAGAGCCGGATGTGGGTTTGGGGGCCGTAAAGTCTTGGATTCTTTAAAAAGTAGTCAATTAAAAAAACCTCATTACTAACTATTAGATTACAATGCAGAGTAATCTAAATGGAGGGTCTTGCTTTATGGAGTTTACCATCACTAGTGACCAGGCTGATCCCAAATCTTGCCATCTTTATGGTAGATGGCTACCTGGCTTTCTGTTTGCAAACTCCTAAGTTGCAGAATGACCAGAGAGATGTGTACTGGGAAGCAAATGCATTGGTGTTTTCCTTTTCTGGGCCTTGTTCCTCTTTATTAAGGGCTGTGATTTACTTCTGAATTCAAGAAATGGCACCTTGATCTTACAGTGACAGCTGCCTTAAAATGCATATATTTATAGTTACTTCTGATGGTTTTTGTAAATTATACTCTATTGTATTTGGAAAGAAAACTTAGCTGTGCAGTCACCTTTAACTGAAAATAATTTTGTGGGTTTCAAATAATTTCTTGAAGATTTTTTTCCTGCTGATCAAATACAGAAAGTCTAAATGTTACCCGAACTCCATTTTCTTTAGCACTTTTGCAAGTAATCATATAAATTACTCAAAGAACATCTTGTATAGAAGCAAGATTATTAGTACATATAAAATAAGATGTTCTGTTGTAAGTGACGTTACTAGCAATATAAAAGACCTGAGACTAGGTTATTTAGTGTCTAAGTCCACTAGCCTTCTCTGGAGAGCTATATTACAATCCTTATTAGTTCCAAATCCACATCATAAAATTGCCCCACAGCTTGACATAAATATAAGGCTTTATGCAGGAGTGGCCCACGACTTATATATGCATGGTGCAGCAAGTCAGGACTCTACTGCAGCGTCTTACACAGCACACCCTGGATTAGGTGTGAATCCAATTATTACTATTTTTCACTTTCCTGAGCACTGAATTTCCAGGAAAAATTTGCTAGAAAATCCACAAGGTTATGAGGTCGTTTATTACAAAACCTGAAAACACAGATACTGTTTCTTGAGGGAGAGAATCCCTGCAAAATTATATGCTGTTACCAAATTCTATTTCTATTAGGAATGATTATCTTTTACATATCACACACCTCATGATGGACTACTGTGTCTTTTTGGTCCAGTCAAAGTGAGGATTACTCACCTTGTGCAGTCACAGGTTCTTTGAGATGGTTGTCCCTGTGGGTACTCCCCTCTAGGTGTTTATGCGCCCTGCGCTTATAATTGGAGATTTGTGGTAGCAGTGCCTAGCTGGGTTGTGCATGCAACGTCGCTATCTCACACCGCTCCAAGGGGGGTTACGTAGTACTGCGTGACCAACCATCCCTCGATTCCTTCTCTACCGCAGAGAATCTACATGAAACTCTGAAGTAGAGGGGAGGAGGAAGGGTAGTGAACACCCACAGGGACAACCATCTCAAAGAAGCTCAGTTACTGTACAACCCTCTCTTCTTCTTTGAGGATAGCCCTGTGGGGGCTCCACTTTTGTGAGTGTTGAGCATTGCCCCTCAGCGGAAGGGCTTCGGATTTGCGTTATTGATGGTGGATAAAACCGTGAGTCCAAATTGAGCATCCGATTATGGCAGTTGCTCTATAGCATAATGCTTTGTGAATGTGTGGACTGATGCCCAAGCTGCTGCTCTGCAAATGTTGATAATGATAATTGTTGAGAAAAGCTATGGGTACTGAAAGTGCTCTGGTAGGGTGTGTGCAGATTCCCACTGGGGCTTGTAAATGAAGCATTTGATAACAAAGGTGGATGGATCCCGATATCCACTTGGATAGTCTCTGCTTTGAGATGGTTTCCCCTGTTGAACATTCTGTTACAGAGACAAATAGTCTCGGTGATTTTCTAAATGTTTTTGTTCTTTCAATATAGAACGCTAATGCTCTTTGAACGTCCAGTGTGTGGTTCCTCTTTTTCGTCTGCATCTGGTTTTGGAAAAAACATAGGTAAGTAAATGGGTTGGTTCAAATGAAAGGGGGATGCAATCTTGGGTAGGAATTTGGGGTTTGGCCTTAAGGCAACACTGTCTTTAAAGAAAGTTGTGTATGGGGTGGGTGTGTGTGTGCGCGCGCGCATGCATTAGGGCATCTAGTTCCCTCACCCATCTGGCAGACATGATGGTGATGAGGAAAGCCACCTTCATAGATAGGTGGAGTAGCGAGCAGGTGGCAAGCAGCTCAAATGATTTTCCCATAAATCTGCGTAAGACGAGGTTGAGGTCACACATAGGAGGGGGTTCCTTATTTTGAGGTAGGTGTCCTCAATGCTCTTGAGGAAACGTTTAGTTGTTGGGTAGGCAAATATGCTGACCTTGTTCACCTTATCATAGAAAGCTGTGATAGCCGCCAAGTGTACCTTGACAGAGCTTATGAAGAGCCCAGTGTTTTTAGTTCTAATATGTAATCCAGTACCCTTGTTAAGTGGGAGGATGTTGGTAAGATCTACTCGTCTTGGCACTAAATGTTGAACCATTTCCACTTATGGACACGTGTCTTTCTTGTATTTGTTCTACAGCAATTCAGTAATATGTTTTTTACTTCCCCTAAACAGGCCGTTTCAATTCCTCTCAGCCATGGAGTAGCCAGGCCCTGAGGTGGAGTATTGAGAGGCTGGGATGGTAGATGTGTCTCACATCTTGTGCAAGGAGGTGAGGTATTGGGGAAGGTTTCAAGGTTAGCGTACCACCATCTTTAGCAGGTATGGGAACCATGTCTGTCTGGCCACGTAGGTGCTATTAGGAGGACTCTGGATTTGTCCCTCTTGATCTTGTGTATGACCCAGGTTAAGAGAGTGATTGGGGAATGCATACAT